ACAAGTACCGCAAGGCATCTGAAAAAAAGAATAAACATCAGTAATTAGAACCATGGCAGATTTATTTGCACCCGTCTGTTCTAAAACGGTAAATAACTAATGCCACTAATAAAAAATATACACTATCATAAACAGTATGAGAGGGAATATCGAAGCGTGTGCCAATCGTACATGTGGTGCCAGTCTCGCGGCAATTAAGTAGAAACCGCATGTAAGAGATTTGACGAGTCACGAGACAAGCGACGACGATACGCTTCACTATCGTTCGGTCACTCGCGCGACGCGGAAGACCGCGTGAAAGCGACGGGAGCAAGCGACCAAGGCGATGAGCGCCGATTTCTAGAAATCCAAAAAACGAGCGATGCGACAAGCGACCGTGGGAAATCTCCGCCGCTCGTCGCTGACTCTCGTCGCTCGCTTAATCGCTTACATGCGGTTCAGCCTTTACGTTGCATAACGGACGACAGACTAGGAAGGCAGGAAGGGGCAACAACAGCAGGATCCTCTACCACAGTGGTTAACCACTGCGGTAGAGGATCTCTGAAGCTGAATGTGTACACTGGCGGTTGTATTACTAGCATGGCTGTTCCAAATGGGGTTGCAAAAAGGTTCGGTTTCACATGACCCTGATTATGAAAATGAATCCAAATGGTCGAGCCTGCTTACCTGGCTCGCTGGCGCCGAGACAGAGACAGCCAGTGCCCGCGCTGCAATGAGGACGGAGCGAATTCCAAACACGCCGTTCTGAGAGGCAGACATTTCGCCCGCGAGCGAGTGGAACTCAGGCGAACTCAGGCGGAGGACGTCATCAGCCACAGTAACCATCGGCAGAGGCAGCACTCAAGGCACCGGCAAACTATCTTATTCAAACACAGCAACTTGTAGCCGCCCCAAGCAGAACAGCAGCGCGAACAAAGACCCCAGTTCGCGTTACTAACGCCAAATCCGGTTTTCTTTTTTCTTTTTTTTTTTGTTTTCGGAACTGCGCCGCCGCCGTCTCAAAAGTGGCGCTTCGAGCGGACGCGAGGGCCGCGCTGATTGGCCCGCGCGGTCCCTGTCCTTGCACGTGAGCAGCTCTCCTCATTCAAGGAATCCGCGCTGCGCGCAGGGAGACTGCATCATCCCCAGTCCCGGGGCACTGACAGTACTGGAGCATTACGGGCGCGTGATTCTTCTGGAGGGTGCGGGATCTCTCCCGCGCTTTTCCAGGCACTCCGCCTCAGGCACTTGCGCTTGAAGCGGCTTCTCCGTGCAAGCCAGGGTAGATAAAGGCCGCGGTAAAAAGCGGGAAAATGATAAGGGAGGAAGTGTCCGAGTGGGCTAACGCGTCTCAGCTCGGAGCGTGGAGCGAAACCTTGCGCTGGGAACCTCCTGGGTTCGATCCCCGCCGCCCCCGCCCGTTTCGATCTGGATGAGTTTCGTACCGGCACGCGTTCGTGTGATCACTACTGTGTGATGCACGTTAAAAATCCCAGGTTAGCGGTTGTACCGCACTGGCTAAATTTCTCATCTACAGCTAAGAGACCGATTGCCCGTTGAGGCGCATCTGCATCAAGGCTGTATAAACATAAAGAGCAAGCCAATTTTTTTTTTCGGGAAAATGATAAAGTTCGGGTGCGACCAATTTCGATAGTTTTATTTCCAATTTGTCCGGCACAATTCCACTACAACCAGTTAATTTTGGGTTTTGCCTGTTCATATCCAAACTGTTTGCAAATAGTTTTTTTTCTTTTTCAATGGGGAAGACGTGTTCTTTTTTATGACTCAAGCTAAAACAGACTTCTTGCACTCAAACGTCACTTTCTAGTGCGAGGGCTCTTGCCACAAAGCACCAAAAATATGTTAAGAAAACGCTCATACGAATTAAAAAAAAAAAAAAAAAAAATGGAAAAAAGTTAAACGAACTATAGAGTAACAGTGGCTTTCAGCGGGCATTCTGGGTCCGATAAAATACGAGCTTGAGCCACGGAACATTGCATAGCGGCAATTCCCTGAGATTCCTTGGCTCACCCTATCTTCGATCCGGCAACATGCCCGAATATTGGCTGTTGCTTGTGTTAAGCGGACCAGGGAATTCCTGCGAACTACCATGGAACCCCAAAGCTTGGCAGAGGCATTGCTACCCTGGCCATCTCCGACCGAGGAAAATCAATACACAGCCAGGGTGCATCCAATACTGGCAGCGGCCTGTTTACAATGGCCATCAATGACCAAGGAAATTGATTGGTCAACCAGGGAAGGCGTTCCGTGGCAGTTCCGTGGCTTTCTGGAGCAAGGTAAGACTATGAAACGCCAGGCTGGCATACAGACGTAAATGACTGGGCAGTCGGGGCCAAGCTATCACAACTAAGTGCCAACCCTGGCCCCAGCTAAACCAAGCAAGTGTGCTACCTGGGTACTTCGCCAAGCTCGCCCGTCTCTCGACATGCAGTTTGGAATTTAAAAAAAAAGAATGATTTCCACGTGCCTTTTCTCTGAAGTAGGCCTTTTTCATACAAATAGCTGACCTTGATTAGAGACAAGTGGACCATTTTTGCCCCTTCGCCATCCAGTGTTTTGTTGCTGGCTTCCCTTAGGGCAATCAAAGTATTTTTTTTAAATAGTTTCCAGATTAAAAATAAAATAAAGGCAATTAGGGCTTTAGCTACAAAAAGTTTTCCTTCTACATGGGCTGCTTGTCTTATGTCCCTCACGCCATTTTGGAATTTCTGGATTATCATGTACAGCTGGTATTAATTTACCCTGTCATTTTACAGCGATGTCGATTCTCTTTACAGGTGCTGTAATGAAGGACTCGCCTTCCCGGGTGCAAGGTCGATTTGCATCACAAGATGCATGAGAAGTCTGAAGAAACTTTCCTAGGCCCGTGGTATGCAGCCTCTTTCATCCAGCGCACTCCTCTTGCGACAAGCCCCTGATTACCAGCCGAGCTGTAGCTTCACTGCAACTGACAATAAGCAATTACGGTAACAATTTTGTATAATATATTTACTACCTATGTATGAGTGACAGATGGATGTGGCAGACAGTGAAAACTAATTGTTTACACTCATTATTTGTTAAAATTACCCTTGTAATGAACTTTTCTATTCTTTCTATTCCGGTGTGAATTGCACACAAAACCACATGTTAGCCTGTAAAACAAGACCGGGAACAGTACGGTTTTAGCCCGCTAGCCTGGGGTCTTGCTGGTATCTTACCGCATTACTGGTACTACGCTGGGGATTTCTGCTGGCATCAGCCCGGGAACTCGCTGGGGCAAAACAAGACCGGGAACTGTATGGCTTGAGTCCGCTAGCCTGGGGTCTCGCTGGCATCTTACCGCATTACTGGTACTACGCTGGGGGTTTGTGCTGGCAGCATCCCGGGAATTCACTGGGACTCCCAGTGACGGGCGCCCCAGTCAGTCTCAGTCACTGGCCAGTGACTGGCAATCTCACTGGCCCGTTGTCGCCCTGGGATGCGTTTCTAGCGTCGCCCCAGTAGGATCTTACTGGCAGACCGGTACCGCCCCAGTCCCAAACCAGCGAGTTGTGCTACTTGGGTTACCTCATCTTCAGCACATTCAAAAACAGAAAACAAATATTAATTTTTGACTTTTTTAAAATATTAGGCATGGATATTAACGACACCGATTAATCGATTTATTAATCGATGAAAGGGTGGCGATTAATAGGGTTAAAGCTTTTAATCGACGCCCAGCTCTACTAAAATGTGATCAAAGTTCGGGCCACACCCTTTTTGAGCGTAAGAAATCTGGAGCACAAAATCCAGCTGACGTGAACCCGTCGTCACGAAACCTCGATTGCATTTTTAGTGGAGAAATCGATGTCGCAAAGGAAATTTTTTTTTTTTTTATTTCTAAGATGCCTCGAGCTTGTAGAGTGAGTTATCGCCATGGACAGACAATCTCCAAAAAGTCTTTAGCGCACCTTTGAGGGCTGTGTCCCACTAGAGCGACAAACAGCAACAAACGACAGCGACCCATGACAACGAGCGACAAACGACAGCGACCCACGACAACGAGCGACATATGACACCGACAGATAGCCTGTTTCCCGGAGTCCGCCGTCCCACCTGGCGGACACGACGCAAAACACGGGGGCAAGGAAACTTGTTTTCTAGTGGGACTTGAGTTGTCAACAAAACACTTCAAAATACACAGACAAACAAAGTCTGGCGACGCGGTTTTCATGTTTTGCTATTTGGGCGTAAACCCGCCGACAGACACCGTGAAAATGTAGACAGTTACTTTATTTCTTAATTAAAGCTTGCGCTTGTCTTTCTTTGCCGTTGTCGACTTTTCGCAAACGGTACTGACAATCGACACTAAACTTGTTCCTAACCGTAGCCCTTCATAACTCCCGTTTAGCGAATCGGTCCTTCGGAATAAACATGACCCCCGAAAAAGTAATTCCCAAATCGTTCCTTTTTTTTTTGTCAGAGGCATTTTAGGTGAGCGCTGTTAAGGAAGAGATCCCCGGCACGTCCGTTTCGATGGTGTCGGTTTATCGTTCTCTCTCGTGCCGTTCATGATCTCGTGGTTCTGCGCTCCTCTACCTCCTTTTCCTCTTGTCCTACTACCAGATCGCATAATCTACAACTTCCCGCGCCGGCCTGGAGATGAGACCATGCATTCCCATACCGCGAGATCAGGAAGTTTAAGAAGGTACAGAGCAGTGCAGAAAACAAGAACTCATGAAAGGTCAATGGGGAATACAAAAATACACAAACAAGTTGAATGAACACTTTGCCGAGTCCCACACAGTTTCAGTGAAGTCATGGTAACGCAATGCTTGTAGCAAACAAGGGGTGTCCATCGTTCTGTGTCAATTTTTAGTTTGATATGTTGCCTTCAAGAAAGAGAAGGCCTTGCATAGGGCGCTGGATTTCTTGTCTGCTCGCAAGGCGAACCGCGCAGAGTCTTGGTATGCCGTCTCTTCCAGGAAATGCTGCTGTTATTCTTCCAAGTTTCCATAGGAGCAGTGGCGTGTCGTCCTTTATAATAACAACGTTTCCCGGTTACGTCCGGTGGACGCCCTCAACGCCGACGCCGACGTCTACCGAGGTCTCGGCTTTCACCACAAACCTGGCGCGTTCCTGGGCTCCTGCTCGAAGTCGAACTCCTCTGGATCACTCCTAGACCTTCCGCCTCGCCTGCGGTAATACCTCCCGTAGAAGCGTCGATGTGGCTTACGCTGGACACGGGTGTCCCTGTATTCGTCCTCCTCTCCAAACTGGAAGTTGGGTCTTATGTCTTCGGCGGGTAGCGAGCTCCTGGTCATACCTCTGTAACGGCGGTAGTAGCGGCGTAAACAGGGTCTCCCAGGCTGCAGCCGTCGCTGCGGTGGCGGTTGCGGCCGCGGCGAGTCCGGCACGAGCACAACGTCATGGAAGTCGTCCGAGTCCTGCACACCGTGGAGCGGGTTGGGGAACGGTCGGCATTGACTCCATCTCGGAAACCAACGACCTCCGAAGCGTCTTCCGCCCATGGCATAAGGGAGGCACTGCGCAGGCTCGCCGTCGGGACCTGTCACATTGGCGGCCTCGCGCCCTTTCTCGTCTACGACGACGTCAAACTGGACGGTCTCGCCCTCGGAAATGGAGCGCGTGAGCTTCTGCGGGTGGTTCCGCGTGATGGCGGTCTGGTGGACGAAGATGTCTTCTCGCGTGTCGTTGAGGTGGATGAAGCCGTAGCCATTCTTTACGTTGAACCACTGGACGGTGCCCAGCACCCGCTCGGCGAGCACGGGTTTCTTCCTGGTCATTTGCGTGGCGCCTATGTCGACGGTGAGCGCTTTTTGGTGTTGCCCAGTAACACTTGCTGAAGGGTAAAAGATGGCTTGAGAGTACGTTCCTTGGACCATCCAGCCAAATATGGTTTCTACCGCGGTGAGGTCGTCAGTCAGGTGCTGGATCCGTCCCGTGACGACTTGCCAGTAGAAGTCTGAGCCTATGAGAACGCCGACGTCGTTGTCCACTCTGCTTTGAGCCCCAGCAGGGATGATATCTGCACTTGAAGTCCGCTGGAATGAAGTTGCCTCAGTAGATTGTCATCTAGCTGCTGGTTGGATACTGTCTGGGACTTCCAGTGCTTCAAGTGATGTCTTCTGGTTGCTTTGATGGCTATGGAGGGTCACAACCACTCGTCCTCAGGACCGTTTGGTGGCTGTGTTTCCAAATATGTATATAGTAAGCTCCTTCTGGCCAACGACTTCACAACCCAGTTTTTCAGAAATGTCCTGCCGGATAAACGTGCGCTGACTCCCACTGTCCATTAACAGCCTCAGTAGGAGGTGTCTCGGTGTCCCTAGAGCCCACGTTCTAGCAGTTTGCAGCAAGACAGCAGAAGAGCGGGAACTGGTGGTTGGTGCGCTCACGACTGTTGCGGTACCTTCACGAAGTCCTCCTGGGTCTGGGTTGTCTGATGCGGCTCATGTGGGACGTGATAGATCGCAGAGTATAGTCACGTGGTGACCTCCACAAGTGGCGCATGTCAAGTTCCTGCACGAATGGCAAAAACGAGCGATGTGGTTTCGCTTGCCGCATTTGAAGCAGCAGCGTGCTCGCGCAAGCTTGGTTCGTTTTTCTGGTGTTGAAAGTTTTGCACCTCGTGCTGTTTTGCACCTCGTGCTGGGTGGTATCACACAAATGGCACGTGGCCGCTCGGTAGCCAACAGTCTCAGTCGAGAGTGCGAGTGCGAAAGAGTGGCTCGCCTGTACGGATTCTTGACGTGGTATCGTCGATGACCCATACTGGGGAGAGTGACTTGGGTGTTCCATTTAGACATCTTCTCGAATTTCCACTTGAGTCTGTAGAAATAACATGATGACGCGGACATGCTCTTCCGGGCGCATGTCAGGTGTGTCGGCTGATGGTGTCAGTGCTGCTTCCCTTAACTTCTGTCGGTATAGTATAGCCAGGTCAGCAGGAAGGCACCGCAGGAGAACACGATGTAGGACGACAGCGTAGTTGCTAGGCGGGACATCCAGCCCTTGAAGAGGTGTTGTTCTGAAGCGTATCGCATCGTAGAGTTTACGAAGCTGTACTGCGTTGGTTGAACTGTTGACCGCGGGCAAGCTCAGAAGCCGATCAATGTGATCATCAATTAGAATGTCCCGTCGTCCAAATCGTTCTTGTAGCGTCTGTACCGCGAGGTCATAATTTTGTTCTGAAAGTCGGATTCTTTCCACGGCTCGCTTGGCGTCATCTGTGAGATACGTGAGAAGGTATTTAAACTTCTTGACTGGCGGGACTTGAGAATTGGTGTGTATCGTACAATTGAAATGATCCCAGAACCCCTGCCAGTCGCGACGGCTCCCGGCAAAAGTCGGTACCTGCAGTTTCGGTAGGGCGACCGTCCTGTGGCTCCTTGAGGTCAGAGTTGGAGGAAGACCGCCGGACTGGGCTCTGTCGAGAGGGACGTTGGGCGTGATACTCGTGGGTTGTGGTACAGAGACCTGAGAGTCGAGGGCTTGTCGGACGCGCGTGAGGCTATGACTGATGCGAAGACGGTACTCCTCTGCTCCCTCAAGCTCGGCCTCAAGATCGTCATCTGAGGTGGACGTCTGGATGTCACGGTCAAGGCGGACTAGGTCGCTTTCTTTCTGAAGCAGGTAGTCCAGTTGTAGTCGGAGGTCTAGCTCTGTCGTGTTCTCGTCTTGCAGAAGATTGTCGATTTGGGTTATTGTTCGGCTGACGGCTGAGCGGACGATGCCGCGGGTTCTTCGGCTGCGGTCCATCTCGTTTCCCGGGTTTCGGCACCAGTGTTAAGGAAGAGATCCCGGGCACGTCCGTTTCGATGGTGTCGGTTTATCGTTCTCTCTCGTGCCGTTCATGATCTCGTGGTTCTGCGCTCCTCTACCTCCTTTTCCTCTTGTCCTACTACCAGATCGCATAATCTACAACAAGCGCCATGGAATTTCATGCCGATTTGGATTATGCTTATAACTTCATATCCGAATGATTGAGGGCAGGCGCTTTTTGGGGGACTATACGGCATCCCAATTATGACAGAACGTGATGACAAGTCTTTCTCTCGTCTGCCGGAATGGCTTGTTGCGGAACATCGTGCCCTGAATCGTAGTGAGCGGTCTTACTTTGGTCAGTCCTCAAACATTGGTGTATCCATCCTAATGCAGGAACGTATACGTCATGTTGAAGCACAACCTTGAGGTCGAGTGGCGGAGCGAGCCACGGGAGGAATGGGAGGGAGGGTAGAAGTGTGGGAAGAGAGGCAACAGAAGGTACAAGCGGGCGAGGAGGATAACTTTGTCTTTGGGAGATGTTCCTCGGTGGGACTGCTTGTTGCGCTTCAAGTCCAATGACGGACAAGAACTCGTCTGTCGTCGATCGTTTGTCGCGGTTGTTGGTCGGTACAGTGGGACAGTATCAGCGACATGGAACTTTGTGGTGTCGCTGGACAAAAATTTTTGTTTGTCGCTTTAGTGGTACGAGGCTGTAACTGGAGACTATACGCCTCGCATGTGGGCTCATTTTCGTCTTCTGCGCATGAGAAAGGAAGTAGCGGTGAAGTCAGAACGCCGAGTCCTGATTGGCTGATCGCGACCCCCTATTGAGCGTCGTCTGCTCCTTTGCAACGTCGTCTGCTCGCAACATCGTCTGCGTCTGTCTTACCTTTCCTGCGACTTTCGGAGCGAACTCGACTTGGCCTTTAAGGGAGGGCAGACGAAATAACTCGAGCGGTACGTTGTTTTCGTCTAACAACTAGCAGACGCGCATCAAGGAGGGAAGTCAAAGGACTCACTGGCGAGGTGTCCCGGGGCGCCGAAGTTTGTTTGCTTTGTGTCCGCAAGTTCCCTCCCAAATACTTTTTACCTCCATTCGTGTGCGGCGAGACCCCTCACTCTTTAACGGCGCCGGCGGGTTGGCGCAGTTAACGTCGTCTGCTTTACGTCTGCTAGTCAAAGCGATGGCTGCTTTACCTTTCCTGCGTCTGTCGGAGATTCGCCGCTTTTTCACCGGCGAGAGTCACCGTTGCCTCGGGAAACAAGGAGATAACAAGAGGAAGAAATTGATCTCTTAATCTAAAATTGAGGTCAGCGATCAAAGTATAACACGGGAAGGGTTCACAAGGGTCACGCGGGCATATTCCATTCAGCACGTCAGCCGGTCGTGGGCAGACGGTCACCGAGTCGCGGAGTGCCTGCTAGGCCTAACTGCCCAGCTCGTTTGGTCGCGTTCGGTGGAATCGTCGCCGTTGGAGCTTTTCCCCGGTGTCTGTGGATCCAGCGTTCTTGTTCGTCGTGCTCTGTTTCAAATAATTTTTACTTTTTTTTTTGCTGCTTGAAATCAGGACGCGTGAGAAGCTCACGTAGAAAAATAAACGTCCGTGGGTCGTCGCGACCGCGACGCTGTCGGCCATGCTGACTTGATCGTAAGAAGTGCGTAACAGCTTCGGAGCTGTCGTAGGATTTCGCCGTAACCTGCGCAAAACTTACGAAAATTTCGTTTCGTGAATACGAATTTGTTCTTAAGTTTTGTCTTACGCACATTTTTGGCGTAAGATCGTTTCGTGAATCTGGCCTCTGCACTCCCGAAAGTCGCAGGAAACGTAAGACAGACGCAGACGACGTTGCGAGCAGACGACGTTGCAAAGAAGCAGACGACGCTCAGATAGGGGGGCTCTATCAGCCAATCAGGGCTCGGCGTTCTGACGTCACCGCTACCCCCTGCGCAAGGAGCAGACGAACTTGCCCTCCGCATACGCTTCACAAGTGGGCTCATTTTCGTCTTCTGCGCATAAGAAAGGAAGTAGCGGTGACGTCAGAACGCCGAGCCCCGATTGGCTGATCGCGACCCCCTATTTGAGCGTCGTCTGTTCCTTTGCAACGCCGTCTGCTTGCAACGTCGTCTGCGTCTGTCTTACCTTTCCGGCGACTTTCGAAAGTCGATCCAGAGAGGGTAGACGAAATAACTCGAGCGGTACGTTGTTTTTCGGTCATTCCACGTGAAACGTCCCAGACGTTGCGCTCCACCACCTCCGATTAAAAAAAAAAAAAAGAATTCATGGGCTTCGGCCACAATGTCCGTAGCCATACTTTAAATTAGTTTTGACGAAAAAAAATTTGTGATGCCGTGAGCGCGATTTTAATTTTTGAAAACAGCGTGAAACTAGGCATCATTCAATAATTTACAAAAAATCAGCTTTTTTATAAAACACCCAACAATATTTTTTTCTTAAATTTGCACAGTTGTCGGCTTATAATGTGGTTAAGTTTGTGTTGTTTTGTTTAATTTCAATATTTTTTTTAAAAATACATAATTTTATTCAAAAATAATAATTTTTGTCATATTATTAAAAAATATATAATTGCTCCTGGGACCTAATATAACTTTTTACTGGTTGCCCTCTAGGTGTATAACCTATAAAAATGTTTTAATCCGCTCAATTAAATATCTTGCAGTAAAAAAAAAATCTTGAATTTGCCAAAAAGCGCGTTTTGACGCATAAACAGCCGTTTATTCCACCCTGAGGTGGTCCAAGTAAAAATACAAAATATGGTGGCTTTGGAAGAACAATTTATCGTCTTTTGATTCTGAAAGTTTAATCAGAGTAATTTTTGTTTAAAGCGAGAAAACAATTTTTGAAGTTGAACTCTCGCACCACTACCCGGCGTCGCTTCGTAACGCCTCTTCGCCGCACAGCACGCCACCTGCGAGAATAGTCGACGCGATTAGGTCCAAAGAAACAACGGAGTTTGCTGCCCGCTTCCCCTCGTCCCTCTTTTCTGGCTGTAAGGGAAGAAACGGCGGGTATCGTGTACTAATCGGGGGTGAAGCCAGCGCGTCGCCATAGCAGGCCCGTTGTGCCCATTGTACCCGAGGGCGGCTCCTCATACTCCT